ATGAAGATTGGCTAAGTTTCTTTGTGGAATCCTAGAGAGATGAAGATGGAGGATGAGTCTTGAGTTTCAAATTGGCTAAGTTCTTTTGTTTCCTATCCTCTTCTCTTTTTACTAGATGGTTAGATCCCTTAATCTGGGTTTAATCATCTTAGCTTATAAATTCTAATTTGAATTTGATGTTGATGTAAAGAGAGAGGATTGTTTCATTTAATTTCTTCCTTGGACAGCCATGACTGAATTTTGCCACTCTTTGTTTGGCACATAATCTTGTGTTTTTCAATTAGTGAATTTCTTGTGTTAATATTGCATAATCTTGTGGTGTTAATGCTTGTGTTGTTGAGTAGCTTGACATAATCTTGTGGTTGCTCAATTTATGTGTTTGACCATGGCTGTTGAGAGAGGATTTTGAGTGAATCACTTGGCTAATGTCTTTACCAATTGGTTAATTAAACTAGAGACTTTAATCTAAGACCTAGGGAGGTTAGCTAATTAGGTTAATTGGCTTAGGATAATTTTCTTAAGTCATGACAGCTTTAGTCAAGAGGAAAGGGAAGCTAAACTTAGCCTAATCATGAGAAGATAATGAGTCCAAAATCAACTAATCTCTAGGGTTCCATTATTGTGAAAAGGGAAGTTCATTTCATTCACTTTCACTAGCATTTTAATTACTTGCACATTAGGTAATTAGCTAGGTAACTAAATTCCTACAAACTTTGGTTGATTTATTTCACTAGATAACTTTTAATTAGACTTAAAATCATTCCTTGGGAGATGACCTAGGGTTGGCCCTATATTGCGTTAGGGTTAACTTTAGTGTAATTTTGAGGATAAACAACTAATTTCCTATCAGCATGTCACCTAAGGGAGGCAATATATCAACCATTGCAAAATATCAAAAGCGTGGGAAATAGATGATATCAACGTGTGAACATAGCACCAGAGAAGAACAAGAAAAGATGGGATATTTATGAAGGAAAAAGACGAAGCAGAAGTTGGAGGATGACTGGAACCGAGAGAGCAAGAAGAAGAAAATACATAAACAGTAGCATGCATGCACACGTGGGTTTTGGACTAAACGAGATCATCATTTTCTTCTTCCCTCAGTCACACGAGTTCAGGATGTTTTGCAAGCAACAGAGAACCATAAACACGTTCAAAACTTGAGGTCGAGATTATGAAAGAGTTGTCTTGAGAGGAAGAAGAATGCATACCGGGAATCACGAGCTGCTCAGGTAATATTTAAAGTCACCTTCCTTGATATAGATTCATTGGTAAACACACATGCATATATATATATTGATAGACATTGAGAGTGTGGACTGATCTGGATATGTTTTTAGGCATTAAAAATTTAGGAATCGAATGTTTTTATTTAGAACATATCTAAGAGGTGTTTGACAAAACATAAAAAGAGAGCCTGCGATAATATTGTTGATAATTTATAGGGTGATTGATATCCTCAAGTCAAAATAGTTTATTTCTCTATTGCCTTTATTGCATGGATTGTTTAGCCAACCATAATATTATGCACCGACTGCAAAATACAAATATTTCGATTATTTATTTGTTGTGTGAGATTTTAAGAATCTCCATAGGCATTTAGAATGATTTCATACCGTGTAAATCAATAAGATTTTGCAGGTATGAAGATCAATTTTTTTGGTATTTATATGGGTTCCTAAAGCCCATTACTAAAATTAATTCTCTCTTTATACTAAATATTTAAGTCTCGTGTGAAATTTTAAGAATTTTCATAGAGGCTTAAATTAATCACCTTATCGTGTAGGATAACAAATCCATGCAGATATCGTGATTCGTAATTTATATGGTAAATAAATAAACAAATTTTGTAAAAAATAATAAAAATTTCTTATGCTATTAATTAATTAAATTAATAAATTTAAATTATAATCATGTTTTCTAATTAGATCTTTTGGTCATGTAAGATTCTTGAAACTCTATAAAACTTTAGGATAATTGTACTACTGTGAGAGTCAATAAGACTCGTAAGTATAACGATTAAAATTTTTATATTTAAAAATATGCGTTATATAATTACACATTAAAATACATTTAAAGTGGATCTTATTTAATCCTTTTATTGTGAGAGACTTAGAATCTCCAAAGATATTTAAGATAATTATATTACCGTATAAGTCAATAAAGCTTTGCAGGTATGATGATTAAAATTCTTTAAAAAAACATACATACATATTTAAACAAACTATTACTAACACTTAAAAATATAAATAAATTAAATCAAAAAATTCTTTTATCGTGTGAGATTTTTTAATCTCCGCAGATATTTAGAACAACTGCATTACCGTATGAACCAATAAAGTTTTGCAGGTATAGCAGTTAAATTCTCAACCATAAAACAAAAAAATAATAATAATTTTTAAACTCTTTTCTTTTCTTTATTCAAAAAATTTAAAAATTGAAAAAATAATTGAAATTAAATCACTTTTTTCAATTTAAAACACACATATCAAAATTTCATAAAATTATTTTATTTGCAAAAGAGTGAATTATTTCTAATTAATTTCTCTTCAAAAAAATATTTTCACCAACAATTTTCAAGCTCAAACTACGTGGACTTTGATCCCCATCACAGAGTATGTAGGCCTCAAAGTTGGATTCTGAGTCAAGTCCTCCCTCATAAATAAATAAATATTTCTCACTTAATTCTTATCATTTTTATATCAAACACATGAATATAAAAGGAATAATTAAATAACTTTAAAATCATATTAATTTAGCACAACAAACTTTAAGTAACCGTTCTGACAAACCAGTATTGTGGGGTGTCTAACACCTTTCCCACACTCAATCGACTCTCAAACCTATTTTTTATTTTAGCAGACCATCCTTATCCCCATTTAAATAATTTTTTAAGATTTTTCTCAAAATTTTGGTGGCGACTCCCATCTTTTCGGTCTTCCTTTCAAAGGCTAAAATCTCCGTTCTCGCACTATTCCCATCACATTTTCTGGGTGCGGCACATAACTTAAGGCTTCTCACCTTAATCATCAATATTCACAAAAATAGGGAAAGAGACGGGACCTACAGCAGAACAGGGAAGAAATCTTGGCACGACACACGAAGCAAAAAGAAGAGAAAAGCGAACAGAACCAGATCAAGAGGCAAAGGACTCACGAATAGCACCCCAATGCTAGGATTCAGCTTTCACACCCACCCACGGCATGAACACGAATGGCGAGTGTTGAAGACAGACGAAAGTGAGAACAGCATAGGACCTATGACCTGATACAAGGGATCTCAATATATCTCCCACTAGACCAACACTCTCTCTTGATATATTTGTTCCAAGAATAATAAAAGTACAATCAAATTAACTAAGCATAAATTTTATTTGATTGAAATTTCTGAATTATTACATGAAAATTAGGATGTCACACTCTCTCACTATTGTGCCATCCATTCGTCGAAAAGAAGCCATCATTCCATCTCCATTCATTTTCTGTGCACCCTTCACCGCCGTTCTCTATCAATACACCATTTGAAGCTCCATCATTGTCATTTAACTGCATTTAAAATCACAAATCTGCACTTCAAAATCGTAGATTTGCATTTTTAAATAGCAGATCTACATCTCAAAATAGCATATCTGCATTGCAGCTTCATTGATGCTATAGTTGCGTCAGAGTCGCTTGTCAACCTGAAGAACTTGCCGCCATTGCCTCTATTTTGAAAAGTTCGTCTGCCATTCATCCACCCGAAAAAGGCTACTAAAGATATTTTTTTATAATTAATATTATAATAAATCATTATATAAATTTTGAAATAATTTATATATAAATATACATAAATATGTTGGGATTGAAATTATTTATATTGAAATTATGCAGAATTTGAGGTTGATAATTTCATGATTTGGTTGTCACTGTAGATAATCCGAGAATTGATAAAAAAGACAAAAAAATAAATTGTAGATCAAAAAGTGATGGCCATTATTTGGTGCTTTGTGGTTGACTCCGACCAAAAAAATGGTAGGAATATAATATAAGGAAAAACTGTTTTGACCGACAGTATAATAAAAAGCTTAAAACACAAAAATTACTCATATTTCACTTTAATACGACAGCCATTACCTTCCATTTTTGTCAAAATCAATGGTACAATTTTAAATTTAAATCATAAAAATCACACTTAATAAAATATATTTTTGTTTTCAGTTTATAAATTTCAATAACTTATACTCATATTCACATTACTATAGATTCTATCCTAGCTCCAAATCGTTCAAACTTTGTTCGTTTAATTTAAATCACAAAATTACTTCATGTGATGATCCAATGAGCTAGAGAACATGATTTTTGAAGGTAAAATTTAATCATAGGGCGAAAAATATTAAATTTTGAAAAATATATATATAAAATACTGAAACTTATACACTAAAGTTTATAATTTTCTCTAAAGTGAGGAGATGTAGTTGCTTGCTCACTTGTATGAAAGGAATTAAATTGAAATTAAATTTTGTGATGTAATTATTAAAAGACTCCTGTTCATTAGAAAAAACCACCACCATACATATGCTATTTTGGATTAATGTTATAAGGAAAATTCTGTTAGATTTTTGCCAACAAACCTGTAATAACCTGAAAATTTAAATAAAATAATTATCTTAATAATATGAAAATATGAGATAACAGTGTAATAATTAAATTCCTTATCATGCTAAATATTTAATTTAATTTATTTTATTTTTCACAAAAAGAGAACATGAGGGCTAATGAAATTTATTTTGGTTATTAAGTCTAGTGCCGTTGTAATTTCTATCACAGTGAAAGGACATTACATATGCACGTGTGTTTCTCTTCTTTCCCTTTGCAATAATTAATAAATTACCAAAACACCCCTCTTTCATTTGTTTAAACGTGATATTTGGGTTAGTCTATTTCCCGTTAGACTTTTCCCCTTCTGGCCAATGGATATAGCGTGAGAAGAGAGAAGAAAATTCCAGAGAGCTCTGTAATTATCTAAAGGTGTTCTTCTTTTGTATGGACCCCAATTAAAGTTTTTCATTCCTCTCTTCACCACTGATCGATGCTTGAGTTCTAACCAGCACCACTAAATGCATCTTCCTTCTTTCCTTTCTCCTCCTTCGTTCAATCAGCCGTGAGTGTGCGCCAGAACCTCCTCTTCCCCTGCGTTGTGTTGCTGTCGTTCACTGTTGTAGGAGTCCCGTTGAACACACAGCTCCATCATTTGCTGCTTCACATCACCACTATCTTCTTCCCTTACATTGATGTTGTCGATCTGATTTAAGAGAGTTTCAAATCTTCTTCTTTCTTCTGACATCGCTGTGCAAGGTGAGGATTTTCGTGTTCTCCTTCTTGCCATCTCTGCAAGTGTGTTTTTAGGTAGCCATGGCTGGATTTTTTTTTTTCTTTTCTTTTCTTTCCTTGCTCTGTTGCTGTTTGTGATTTTGTATATAGGAGAATTTGAGCAAACTGAAATTTAAGGTTTAAGAGAACATTTTCATAAAGTAATTTCAATAGAGTTGTCTTGGGTCAATGGAGATGAATAAGGATTTTTTCCCCCTCCTTTGAAGTTAAAACTAATTTTTATTTGCTAAAGGATAGACTTTGAAAAGCTTGATTAGTTTAAATATTAATTTTAAAAAAGTTTTTGAAAAGGGAATTGTGGAGGAAGGACCTCGGTATTTGTTTGAAGTTTGATGCTTACATGTTTGGTAAAATGCTTGACTGGAATAATTTTAGTATATGATAGAAAATAAATGTGATAATTAAATTATTATGGAAGGTAATTATTCTTTATAAGAAAAGTTGAAAAATAGAAATAGAGATTTTTGGGAAGGATATTTTCATTGCTAGTTTAAGTATTAAATTGCTATTCATGTAAATGTTTGATGCAATGTTTGGAGAGAGCTTGAAGTTAAAATTTGTACTATTTCTATGAGTTATTTCATATTGAACATCTTGGGTAGTGAAAATTTATAAAAGAAAACAATAAATGGTGTTACTGGTGACTAGGATTTAGTGACCAAGCATTATGGCAAGAGGACCAGTTGGGAATAAGTTGTTTATTTAAAAATTTATTAAGTAAGTGAATAGCATCTCAATTAACCAACTAATAAAATCTCTTTTATTAAAATACTACATTTTATGTAGATGATTTTTAATAATAATAATAATTATTATTATTAATTATGTTAAAGTATTGGGCATTTGTTAATTAAGTTATTTTATCTTGTGAATATATATATATATATATATAGTTTTGGCAAGGAATAATTAAAATATGATATGTACATGTATTTTCCTTTATATTTTTAGACTGATGAAATTATGTTGACTAACTTTGGAAATTTTAGTTACCCAATAAATGCAAGAATAGGTGTTATTTATGAAATTTTATTTTGACGAGTTTCGAATTGAAATTTGAAATGATTCATGCAAATTCAATATTGAGAACATAAATTATTTTTTAAAAATGACTATTCTCCTCGCATGTTTGAAAAGTGATTTTAGAGGATTTTAAGCATAACACTGCTGCTAATGACAGTTCTGTTAGCCCTTGGCATGCCATGGTTATACTAACTAGTTTGACTTTCGTGAGCATTGCACTCACGTTTGTTATGTGGGCTTGTACCTGCATTTACTTTTGCAACTTCGACTGCATTTGGTTAGTATTATTCTCATAAATTGTGTCTACATTTATTTTGTGGCTTCGATTACATTTGGTTACTTGCCCTTATAGATTATATGTCTACATTTGTTTTCATGGCATAAGCCGCATTTGATTTTTTCATCCTCATGGACTGTATGTCCATGTTTGTTACTTGTTTTGTTAAGTCCTCAAAATTCTAAAGTTTTAATTAATTGGTGTATTTGAAATTTCACTGATTTCAGTTAGCAAGTATATTAATTTGATTTACATGCGAATAATTTGTTTCTTCAAGCATAATAGAATAAAGCAATTTCAGTTCACCCTGATTTTATAGTTGTGGTTAAGACTTACAAGTTTATTAAGTTTATTATATTGAATTATCATCTTTTCAATTATTTTACATAATTATTTGAGTTTATTATTTTTACTCTTTTAAATTCTATTTTTAGGGATGCTATTCACTAAAAAATGTTTTGACCTCAGATTCATTAACTAACGTTGAACCTCTTACCGATCATTGAAAGGGTTGCCATTGAGCTGAGTGAATATTTATTTTGAGAACGCCTTTTCCTTTACTGTATATATTCAACTGTGTGCTTCATTTTGAGATTATGACTTAGATACTTCACATTAACTATAGATGTGATTTTGATTTGTAAATTTATATTGGCTATCCGTTGTCAAGGAGAAAAGCTCCGTATTATTAATTCATCTATAAATGGTTATTGTAGAGATTCATGAGGTCCTATTTATAGAGGAAGTTTTGCTGAAATCTCTACAAAAAATTAGGAATCTTTTATTTGTATGGAAAATGTTATTATGATTTTTAATCCTATTTCAAATGAATTAAGATATTAAATTAGAATTCTCTTGATTGAGACTTAAAGGATGTATGTTTGTGCATATATCCCGTGCTGGTCATGCTTAATTTTTTTGAGGCATGACAAAATCAGAATATTATATATATATATATATAATTTCATCCTTAAAGTTTTAGTAATTAAGTTAAAATTTGTTTCTATTAAATTTGGATAATGATGATATTTTTTATTGTTTTATAGGTACTTAGACAAATATAAATTTTGGGATTGTGGATACTATGTGTTGAAGTTTGTGAGAAAAATAATCACACAACAAGAGTTAATTATTCTTGAGAATGTAACCCAAGTGTTTTAAAATTAAATTAATATAATGTTAATTACTTATATGTTGCTTTCATTTTCATATTGTAGTATTTTACGGGAGCAAGATCCTTGCATTTTAACATGGAAAAAATAGAAAATGTAATGGAGAAGTGATCAAAATATATAATTGGTTGTTTGTAATAGGTAGTTAGCTTTTAATGTTAAAAAAATACCAATAATTTTATTTGTTAGACTAGTTAGAGATTAGGTTAGTTAGGAAATTAATGTAGTTGCTTTATTTTCAAGTTCTTTTATTGTATATACAATTTTTTTTATATTTAATAATATTTTTTTGGATTTTTTTATATTGGAATAATTTATTTGTAAAGATACTGGAAAAAGTTTTAAAAAATTTAAATAATAAAAAAATAAAAAACAACATATAAGAGCATTTAAAAATAGAGCACTCTTGTAAACTGCTATATGGGAGCACTTTTTATCTAGGTGCTCCCATGTGTAGGCATGTAGGAGCGCTCAGACAAAAAGCACTCCCATATGCCCATAGGTTTGTATATACGGGAGCGCTCTCATAGGTTGATCCATTCGAGAGTGCTTTTATAAAAAGTGCTCCTATTGGCCACCCTTACTGGAGTGCTTTATAAAGTGCTCTCATATATACAGGAGAGCTAGCTACGGGAGCGCTTGTAGCCCAAAAATAAGCATTTCTGTAGGATTATTTTGTAGCAGTATAGTGTTAAAAAGTGGTTTCTAGTTACTATTGGTCAAGCGTTTTACCTTTGTACATTTCAATCCAAGAAAATTAGTTGGTAATTGAGGGTAAATTAGTAATTAGTAGATTAATTATGATTTTGGATAATGGATTAATATTTTGTGTTATATGGCTGGTGTGTTAATTGGATTGAACGGTCGAATGGCAAGGTAGAGTGAAACGTGTGAGCAGTAATAAGAGTTATTTTAGTGTGACATGTGTTGCATGCACCATGGCACATGGCATAGATTTTGCTTAAAGCTGACGTGCTTAGCTAGTGATTTTTGGATTGGAAGAAGGTTTCTCTGCTAGGGCTTCAATTTTTTAAGGTTTGGAAGTTTGCTTCAGCTAGTGACTTGCCAGTAAGTTTTATACAGCTTGTGCTACATTTCTACTTTAATTTCTTTAAGTTTGATTGGTAGAAATTGAATCAAGAAGTTTTAAGGAATTAAAATCTAAAGCAAAGGATTAAAAAAGGGTTTCGGGTGCGAAACTAAGGTTTTGTAACTAGTCTAGAGTTTAATGGTTGAACCTTAATGATATGAGCTTAAAGTCACCTAAGTTATTAGGTTGAAAATGGGGGAAATTTGATAAGCAAATGAGAAAGAAGAATGTTTTGGGTCATTTGAGTGGCCTAAGAGCAAATGATTATATGGAAGATGGATTATATGAATTCAAAAGGCCTAAGTTGAATTATTTTATATGTTAAGGAATTTGGTTCAAAATGTCTTGGGTCATTTAGTGCCTGTGCTGAGTGTTGAAAATTGAGTAAGGAGTGTTCATTATGTAGATTGAGCATTTGAGGATTGCTCATGGGAGTTGAACTGACTTAAGAAGTTCAATGTAAATGGTAAGCTTTGGTAATAAGAGTAAAATGTAACTAGAGTAATCCTTTTATCTATTGGTTTGTGAAATTATTTACAAGTATTTTATATAATCATGTGCATTTTGTTTTATGAACTAATAAAGTAGTAATATTATAAAAGAATTGTGTATGTGGGTATAGGTGAGTGATGCCTACTATGTATGCAAGGGAGCATGAGCATTTGTATTAGCAAGTATACCTTAGACTAGGGTAGGGGGTCGTGATCTTACTTTGTGTAAGGCTAGAAGATCCTGAAAGTCTTGAGTGTAAAGCTTGCTTTGCCTGGAAGGACCTAGGAGAATATCTACAAGTGTACCCTAGATTATGGTAGGAGTTATGGCCCCATTCTATGTAAGGTTAAGAAGTTCTTATAGTCCAAGCATTGAGTATGCTCCATTAGTGGGGACTCAAAAGACCACCTATACTTATGATACCTGGTCTGAGATAGAGGTTTGGTTGGCCCTGTTTCGTGTAAGGTTAGAAGTTTCGGTTTGAGCATTGAGCTTGCTCTACTAGGGGGAACCAAGAGTACATAAGTATAGTAGATGAATGAGCAAGTCATTGTGTATATATCTATGTATACTGCTCTTTATTGAAATTCATGCTACTTTATCTCTTGTTTATGATTTTATTTACTAATTGATATTTAAAATTTATCCAAGTTACTGGGACATATATCTCACTCTATTACCTTTGTACATAGTTGAAAGAGAGCACAAGAAGGTTGGGAAAGGAAGCAAGGAAGGATTAGCTTCTTTTCAGTAGTGGTATGACTACCGGAGTGTAATGAATGTATAATAGTGTTGATAAATGATTGAGTTGCCAACTAGGATGCATAAGTATATGTGAATATGAATATGTGATTTTGTTGTTGAGAACTTGCTTGTATATTTGGTAACGCATCATGCCAAGTGTATCATAGTGGTGGATATGTGGATAAGTCTAGATAATATTGATGCAAGCTTATATTATGCTGTATAGCTTGTTCCACTGAAATGTATGTGAATTGTGATATGAAAATGTGTATATATATGAGTAACTTGATTAAATGGTGAGGTTTATGTAACACCCTTAAATTTACAAACTGATTTTTCGCAAATCATTAATTCAATAAATCATTTTTTTTTCATTGAACCCTCATCATACCCTTATCATGGTAGAAAAATTTCTACCATGGTACATCCAAGACAATATACCACAGGTCTTAAAATATCTCAAAAAACAATTAGAACCATGAGGGACAGACAAGATCCTCATGGCATGATATTTAAATCAGGTCATGAATCAAGAGGGACAGATATAATCCTCTTGGTTATATAAATACTTTTAATAAAAAGGATTATAGTTTACATGCTTCACAAAGAAGATATGTCATAAGTTGGCACAAGATACATTGTATAATCCAAAATAAGAGGCAACGTAAAAGATGGTGTCTCATACACTATAGTTACACCTCTGGTGCTTTCTCGGCCGGACTCGCTCCTGTAAAAAATGTTAACCACGGGGAATGAGACTTAAAAGTCCCAGTAATCAAAAATTAATATGTAATGATGCATGCGGATGTAACTAATCATGCGATTGCTAAGTGGGCACACAAAACATTTAACCGAACAATATTTTCAAACAAACCGAACAAGTATTTAATTTGCATGACTGCACCTTATATCCTCCTTTCGCCATGCTCGGACGCCAAATCACCCGGTCAAAGGTGAGTTGGACCAAGCGACACGCCACTCATTGGGTCCAATGAGGGCTTACCACGTGGTAATAATTAACCGAACAGAAATTCCCATTAACACCATACATTAAAATACCCTGACAAGTCATGCATCATTCAAATATCCAAACAGAAATATATCCGAACAATAATATCTCATCATGATAAATAAAAATAAATTTTTAACCCACTTGGCAATGATTTCACGGAAGTATATAACAGTATTTATTTTCAATAATTCATAATTTTTCCAAACAACAAAACAACACATAACCATTCACAAACACACCCATCACAACACATTAATAATGGTTACCTTGTGTCTTGAATAACAAGTTCCCCTTCACAACTCCTTTTTCACCACTATCTTTGTCAATATAATCTACATAATTATTTCACAATACTATATATTAATTTTACATTAAAATAAATAACTCTAATTTAAAGAGTTAGAAAGTCTTAGATCTATAGTCCATATTAACACTAATTTAAGATTTATGCCTCATTTAACTTCCCAAATTCTTTTCTAAAATTCTCGTACCCTAATGAACTATTTTTTTTTATCCTCAATTCACTTCTAGTATCACAATTTCATCCTTCTATATTCTAAAAATTCATCCAAAAATAAATTAAAAATTTTAAATTATCCTGAAGTCTCAAATCACCTTTCTATAACCTCAAAAATACCTATTCATACTTAAATAAATATTTAATAATCATAGGTTTATCCCTACGTCTCAGATTCCACATAAATTCAACCATATAGATCTAGATTTTAACTCAAAAATTCTTAAACATGAGTTTCAACCTTAAGAAAATATTCTATAATATTTTTTATATCCTAAGAATTTTAACCTATATTTTTAATCCATCATATCATCAGATTAACTATCCTATAGAAAAATCCTAATCAAAATATTTACTCTATCCTACAAAATAATCATATCACTAGAAAGCTAATATTATTTAGAAAATAACTATAAAATTAATTTTGTAATTAAATAAATTTTTAAATGCTAATCTAAACAGGAAAGTTAGAACATACCTGAAGAAAAAGAAAATAATCCCCCCTTGCGAGAAAACGCGAGCAACGTGAGAGGAAGAGAGAAAAATAATATAAAAATGGGATTGTGAGTCCCAAAATTATATTAAAAAAACTATAGGTTTGAATTTAATTATTCAAACCTTTGGGCCAAAAGTTGCAATTTTCTCTAAATTGCATCTTAGCCTCTCATGCTTCCTAATGCACACACCCCCTCCTTTTTATACATGAAGGCACCTCTTCTCTTCCCTCATCTAACCAATGTGGGACTTAGAAACAACAACCTTCCACCCCTTTTTTTTTGTTCCTTCTACCTTCTCTTTTTTTTTCAACACATACATAAAAAAAATTATTTATGTATTATATCTTAACTAAATATTGCTTATGTGATTTTAAATTTAAATTTTTAAATTCATAATTAAATACCTAACCATAATATTATTTCTAAATAACCTCAAATAATATAAATTCCTATTATTATCATTTTTTTTCCTCAAAACTTAAATTCCACAATTTCTTTATTATATAAAAAATCAGGATGTTACAATTCTCCCCTCCTTTTAGAAATTTTATCCTCAAAATTTAATAGATAAGCATAGAAACTATGTACCTAAGCAAATAAATGTGGATAATCTCGCCTCATACTCTCCTCGGTTTCCCAAGTAGCATCACCTAGGGCTCCACCCTTCCAAATCACCTTCACGAGTCGGATGGTCTTATTGCGCAGTTGTTTGTCCTTAAAGTCCTCAATTCGCTCCGGTTCGGATCTAAAGGTCAAATTCTCCCTCAATTCTACTTCTTCAAGTTCAATAACATGGGAGGGATCCGGGTTGTACTTCTTCAACTGTGATACGTGAAATACATTATGGATACCTGCAATCTGTGGAGGCAATGCAACTCTATATGCAGCAGGTCCAATTCGCTCCAAGATCTCATACGGGCCCATAAATCTAGGTGTCAACTTCTTTGCCTTAATGGATCTACCAATGCCTGTCACCGGAGAAACCTTCAAAAATACATGATCTCCTACTTCAAACTCTAACGGCCGTCTTCTCTTATCAGCATAGCTCTTCTGTCGACTCTGAGCTGTTAGCAATTTTTGCTTAATCATTGCAATCTTCTGGGTGGTCTGCTCTATAATTTCTGGACCAATGATACTCCTCTCACTTAATTCTGTCCAACACAAAGGCGATCTACACTTCCTGCCATACAAGGCCTCATAAGGCGCCATCCCAATACTAGAATGATAGCTGTTATTATAGGCAAATTCAGCTAATGGCAAATGATTATCCCAACTACCTGGTAGTTCAATGGCACAAGCTCTCAACATGTCCTCCAAAGTCTGGATCGTCCTCTCTGTTTGTCCATCTGTTTGGGGTGGTATGCGGTGCTAAAACTCAGTCTGGTACCCATAGCTTTCTGTAGCGCACCCCAAAAGTTTGAAGTGAACCTTGGGTCACGATCTGACACAATTCTAGAGGGTATACCATGAAGTCTAACTATCTCCTTAATGTATATCTCAGCAAATTTCTCTAATGTAGAGGTAAACTTGATCGCCAAAAAGTGAGCCGATTTGGTGAGTCGGTCTACTATCACCCAAATAGCATCCTTACTCGAGGGTGTTCTTGGCAGTCCAGTGATGAAATCCATGGAAATATCATCCCATTTCCACTTTGGAATATCTAACGGTTGCAGTGTTCCAGCTGGCTTCTGATGTTCTATCTTTATCTTCTGACACGTTAAACATCTAGAAACAAATTCAGTTACATCTTTCTTCATTCCTGGCCACCACCAACCTCGCTTCAAATCATGGTACATTTTAGTTATACCGGGATGAATTGTATATTTGCTCCTATGAGCTTCTTCTAAAAGGATATTCCTCAATCTTGGATCATTAGGTACACAAACTCTACCTTTATACTTCATCACTGTGTCCTCAGAGATGGTAAAATTTGGGGCCTTACCTACCACTATCTCCTTCCTTATATTCCTTAAGTAGTCATCACTCTGCTGTGAGACTCTGAGATCTTCCCAGAATTTGCTCTCAAAGTCTGCTACCTGGAGTGCGGCCATTTGATGTTCAATCACATCTACTGGAACATCATGAAAACTGTTCCACAAATGATATTCATGAACCATCAAATGTGCAGCATGAATAGTCTTTCTACTTAAGGCATCAGCTACCACGTTAGCCTTACCCGGATGGTAATGTAATTCAAAGTCATAATCCTTCAGAAATTCCATCCATCGTCGCTGCCTCATATTAAGCTCTTTTTGATCAAATAAATACTTCAGGCTCTTATGGTCACTGAAGATTTGAAACTTAGATCCATACAAGTAGTGTCTCCATATCTTCAGAGCAAACACAACTGCAGCTAACTCCAAATCATGAGTAGGGTAATTTTCCTCGTGTGGTCTCAACTGTCTGGAGGAATAGGCAACCACTCGGTCATTTTGCATCAAAACACATCCTAAACCCTTTAAAGAAGCATCAGTGTACAGAGTGTACGGCACCACAGGGTCAGGAATAGTCAATACTGGAGTAGTGGTTAACCTCTTTTTCAATTCTTGGAAAGCAGCTTCACATTTGTCAGTCCAAATAAATGGGGCATCCTTCTTAGTCAGCTTAGTTAAGGGCATCGCAATTTGCGAAAATCCCTTAATAAAGCGACGATAATAACCTGCTAAACCTAAAAAGCTTCGTATCTCTGTAACAGATTTTGGCTGTTCCCACTTCATCACTGCATCAATCTTGCTAGGATCCACCGCAACTCCATCTCTGGACACAACATGGCCCAAAAACTTTACTTCTTGGAGCCAAAATTCACACTTGTTTAATTTGGCATAAAGCTTATGTTCCCTCAAAACTTGCAAGACGATTCTTAAATGTTCACCATGAGCCTCCTCATCCTTTGAATAAATAAGAATGTCATCAATAAACACTACTACAAACTTATCTAAATAGGGTCGAAAGATCCTATTCATGTAATCCATGAATACCGCAGGAGCATTCGTAAGTCCAAACGGCATCACCATGAATTCATAATGCCCATATCTCGTCCGAAATGCTGTCTTAGGTATATCCTCTGCTCTTACTCTCAATTGGTGGTACCCTGACCTTAAGTCAATCTTTGAGAAAACTGCGGATCCCACAAGCTGATCCAGCAAATCATCGATTCTCGGAAGTGGATATTTGTTCTTGATGGTTACTTTGTTCAATTGTCTATAATCAATGCACAATCGGAGGCTTCCGTCCTTCTTCTTTACAAAAAGGACTGGAGATCCCCAAG